CTTAGTATGGTTAGACCAGGTTCAACCGGATTTGATAAATTTTTTCAAATAATTATATTTGGATTTTAAAAAAAAAACCAAAAGAAGTATAGAAGAGTTATGATTTAGAAACCTTTTTTTTTTGTCAAATATTTAGAAACCTTATCTTTTATTTTTAAAGTAAATAAATAAACAAAAATCAAATTGACTTGTTACCTCTTAAAAAACGTAAAAAAAATATGATTTAAGTTTTTTTTAGTTAAACTCGGTTTAATATGGTTTATCGATTTATCTAATTTCCGGTTTTTGACGGTTCAATCCGGTTTTCAACTCAACCCGGCTACACTTCCGGTTCGTGGTCCAACCTGGTCTGACCGCCGGTCCGGTCCGGGTTTAAAAACACTGGTTTTTTTTTAAAATCCAAATATAATTATTTGAAAAAATTTATCAAACCCGGTTAAACCTGGTCTAACCATACTAACCCATGACTCAAAAGCTTTCCCGGTTCGGTCAGCGGTCCGGTTTTAAAAACATTATTACTTCTAAATGCATAATCTTGAAACAACAAACTTGGGATTGTTGATGTATAGGCTTGCAAGCTTCAAAGACACCAATGTATTGCGCTGATAAAAGTTCTGAGTCATCCTCTCTCCGATTTTAAAAACATTGTCAGGACTCTCAACATCCATGTACCAATCCACTCCGCAAACCGATCCTTGAGATATGTATACAACCATTCATCATCATAGTTTATCTTGAACTTTTGCATTCGTGATTTTTAATTCAACTCCAGAAAATTGTCAATGAAGCTCGTAAAGCCTTCTCCATGAGGGAAATCGCTGTAATTTAAGTCAAGTCCAGGAACAATAAGTTAGAGGTTTTCCCATCTCTTCGACAAAATGCTTGTCTTAACGGAGTCTTTGTGATAGGTTTAAGGGGGTAGAGTGAAGAAGAGTGAAGAAGAGTGAAGAAGAGAGATAGAGTGAGAAATAGATTAGGTTAGATAGAAATAAGGGGGTAGAGATAAGGAAATTTCATTACTGTTCATAAGATCAGTGCCCTAAAGTCGGGATCACTATTTAAATACAAGCCATAAGGTTCTTGACAATGCTGAGTTATTAATTAAAGTGAACTCTCTCTTTCAGCTAGAGGATTCCACACATAGTCTTCTACTTGTATTTAGCCACTTCTCAATTCCCTCTTTTTCTCCATAATACGAGCCCTCCTTCCTTTGGTTCTGTTCTTATTCCTCATGAAAGCAATTGGCACCCTGAGTCTATCAATACTCCCCCCTAATGAGACAATTTTGTCCTTAAGATTAGCATTTGGAAACTGGTTAACCAGGTCGGATAAAGGTTCCCAAGTAGACTCAAAAGAAGGCAGACCCTTCCATTTCGATTATATTTTTTTAGATTTTGGGTATATTTTTGAATTTTCGGATATAATTTCAGGTTTTTGGATATATTTTCGGGTTTTCAGATCTATTTCGGGTTTTCGGATCTATTTCGGGTTTTTGGGTCCTAAAAATATCTGAACTATTTAAGATCCAAAAAATTTCAAATATTTATCGGTTCTTAAATCTTGGAACCGAACCGACCCGAAACTGATTGGTACCGAACCGAAAACCTATCGATTCTTATTTGGATACAAAATCTCTATATCCGAAAGACCCGGATCCGATCGGTTCCGACCCGAAACTAAACCGAATATCCGAATGCCCAGCCCTACCCTAGAGCTTCCTTCTCTGTTGTCGCACTATAAAATCAAGCAAAAGCTCTCTGTTATCAAAGAAACACAAAATCATTACTTGTGCGTTTTCCAAACAAAGGAAAGCAAAGCAAATCAAAAATAGAATCTCTCCTTCGCATCAACCTTAGCGATGGGGGAAACTCCGATTCTCACACTTCTTTCTCTCATCACTCTCATTGGTGTTCTTGTCATGATTCTACTCATCTCGGTCGCCATTTTCTGTAGTTACGACTCTGAACAACCTCCCGAGTCGCTTCCTGTTTCCTCCTCTAGTTCCGGCAATTGCACCATCTGTTTAAAGAAATACGAACCTGGTGACAAGGTTCAGAGAAGAAACAAGCTACAACGAGAAACCAGCTACGGCGGAGGAGGAGAAACCAGCTCCGCCTAGAAAATCCAAAACACTAGAAAACCCTAAAACAATAAAATGAGATTATCTAAATAATTAAATAAATAACTAAAATATTTGGAATATATCTAAATGTATCTCTGCATCATTCTCTCAGACGAAGAAAATGATGTAGCGGAAGCTTTAAAAATATAGAATAGTAGTCTATTGATTCTGAAAATACCCGGAAAACTCTGATAATTGCAAGATTATTTTTTTAGTCTGAGAATATCCGAATAAATCAAACTTTCTTAGATTCATTGATATCTCTCTAGATCTACCGAAAACAATGAACAAAGAGACAAAAATTCAATTTTATTAATCAATCAAAAATGGAATACACAACTTAGACCTAAATGGCTTATTTATAATAAATCCAAAATACTAGAGAACTCTAAGACAATAAAATGAAATTATCTTAATAATAAAATAAATAAGTACGATAGTAAGAGATATTATAAATATCTTTCTGCATCATTCTCTCCGGCGATGAAAAGATTCATCCTCGAATTTTAGTTGTAGTCTTCAATTCCAAAACTTTGTATGCTTGAATCCAATAATTTTTTTTCTGAACTTCCTCCAATAATATTCTTCAAATAAAAGAATTTTAATTTGTTCCACTTCAAGGATTTTGCTTGTCCAATAGTGATCAACAAGACGCCACTGAATGAGTTGGAGTTTTTTCCTTATATGCTCCACGTTAGCTTCTTGATTTGAAACCCTTAGGCTCTTTTTCTTCACGCCCTCACACACATCTTTTATTTTTCTGTTGATTTTTTGGGAGACATCGTGGCTTTCTTCTAATTGAATTATCACACTTTGAGGAAGAACGTTAATAAGACTCACGTTTTCCTTATCTTTAAGCAGGAATAGCACTTCATCTTCTTTTTGAATAAAATCTTCTTCATCATAAACATCAAAAATTGGATTGCCACAAATTTCTCTGAAATCTTCACACAAACCTTCAGATATAACAAATGGATATGTAAGTATGTAACCGTAAAACAATTCAAACCTTCAAGTGTCATGGTGATGGAAACAGAACCGAGCTTTGATTAAGAAACCAAAGAGATTGGCTCTGATACCAACTGATGTAACGGAAGCTTAAAAAAGATAGAATAGTAGTCCGTTGATTCTGATAATTAATACCCGGAAAACTCTGATAATTGCAAGATAATTCGTTTAGTTTGAGAATATCCAAATAAATCAAGCTTTCTAAGATTCGTTGAGATCTCTCTAGATCTACCGAAAATAATGAACAAAGAGACAAAAACTCAATTTTATTAATCAATCAAATACTAAATATACAACTTAGACCTAAACAGCTTATTTATAATAAATCCAAAACACTAAAAAATCCTAAAACAATAAAAGGAAATTATCTAAGTAATTAAATAAATAACTAAAATATTTGGAATATTTCTAAATATCTCTCTGCATCATTCTCTCCGACGACGAAAAAGATATCTATGAAGAGCATCTGGTTCTTCATGGAGTATCTGATCTCCGTGATGAACGTCTGATTCCGAATGAAGCATCTGAGTTCTATGAAGGGTATCTGGTTTTTTTTTTTACACCAAAAAAAACATTTCATTAAGTATTCGGTACAAGATTCTCCTCTAGGGAGAGCCAATCTGGGGCAACCGAACTTACATGGGAAAAACTAAAGCCTCGTGCCCTTGCTTTCTTTGCAAGAAAGTCCGCACGGACATTCTCTCTACGTGGTACATGAAAAATCCTAAAGGAACTAAAAGATTCTTTAAAGATTTTAAAATCTTCAAGTTCAGATGCGAAGTTTGGCCAGTCCTCCGGGTTTTCCGTCATAGCGAGTAGATCAGAACAATCCGTTGCGAAACAGCTACAATGTATGGATGACTCCTTAATACACTTCATAGCCCACAGGAGAGATTCCAGCTCGGCATGCAAAGGGGATAAGCTCAAGCGTGATCCTTTTAACCCCATATAGATCACTAAGTCCCCCTGAGTCACAATCCACCCATGTCCGCTGGAGGTTCCCGTCTCAGTCCATGAGCCATCACAGTGGCAGATAGGTGCAGTCGCCAATGGTTGTCCAGGAGGGGTAATAATTGCCCGGGGCTCGGTCAATGTATCGTCTAGCAGATGTGCTTTTCGCCAAGCCTCTTCCTCACTTATCGCATGATTAAGTGTATCTAAAGGGGATTCAACAACATTGTCAAAAACTTTGCGATTATGTGCTTTCCAAATAAACCACATCATCCAAGGGAAACCACGCATGACATCTTCTCTAGCTCCGTGATCCTTTGCTCTCTAAAACAGATGATCGATATTACCATAACTAGAGGGTAACGGGAATAAGTCGGGAGCTGATGGAATTGCCGAAAGAGCCCAGACATGTCGCGCTGGAGAGCATTTCGAAGATCATGTGATTAATCGTCTCTGCCTCGTCTCCACATCGAGGGCAGATGTTATCTCCACCAATATGGTGGGCTGCGAGGCTATGGCATGATGCCAAGCAGCGTAAAATACATTGCCCTACGAAATGCTTAAGCTTTCGTGTAGTTTTTAATTTCCATGCTTGTGCCCTGAGTACCGTAGTACTTGGACCCTGAAGAGGGAGGTCAAAAGCATAACGAGTTAAGGTTCTCGCGGTCCAGTAACCGGACTTAACCGTGTAGTTGCCTGATTTTGCTAGAGGCCAACTATAACCGTCTCTTGAGGCTGATTGACTCGGACGTATCCCTAAAATTAGGGTAATATCTTCGGGTGTGAATAGTTTCCGAAGACGATCCACCTTCCATGATTTTGTAACAAAATCAATTAGTGTATGAACATACAGTAGGAATTCGCGCTCGGCATGAAGACCTCTTGGGGGTCGGGCCAGAGTGTCGGGAATCCAGAGTTCAGACCAGACGCATGTTCCAAAACCCAAACCAATAGTTTTACGAAGCCCATATTTGAGGAGTAGCTTTGCAGCCATGATACTCCTCCATCCATATGATGGAGATTCGAAACTTGTATATCCAAAGGGTTGCAGTATTTGAAATATCTATCTTTAAGGACCCTACTCAATAGAGAATCTGGAAATCTCAATATTCTCCTTAACTGCTTTGCTAGAAGAGCAAGATTAAATTCTTCAAGGCTTCTAAGGCTTAGGCCACCATCTGCTAGCTGGGTACACAATTTCTCCCACGCTATCCAATGAATACCCTTGCTATCTGCTTTTGAATTCCACCAGAAGTTAGCAATAGCGGAGCTCAACTTGGACCGAATCACTTTCGACAAAAGGAAACACGACTTCACATATGTCGGAAGAGCTTGGGCTTGCGATTTAATTAAGACCTCTTTCCCGCCTTTCGATAGTAGCTTAGATGACCATGAATTGACTATAGTTTGGAGTGTATCCCAAACAAATGCGAACACTTGCGCCTTGGAGCCATGCAATCTCTTCGGAAGTCCTAAGTAAGTACCCATGCCACCCTCCTGGTGGATACCCGTTGTCGCCTTAATTTCTTGACGGATGGGGGTTGCGACATCGTTTCTAAACATAATGGAGGATTTTCAAAAATTAATTTGTTGCCCAGATGCCTCGCCATAAGAGCGGATAATACTAATAATCTCTTGGCTCTGATGTGAATCTACTCTGCAGAAAAACAAACTATCGTCCGCGAATAGAAGATGGGATATAGGCGAGCTAGCCCTTGCTATTCTGAGGCCTTTGGATATCCCCAGATGATTCGGCTCGGCGAAGCTGTTCAATGAGAGATTCCGTACAAATAATGAAGAGATATGGAGAGAGGGGATCCCCCTGTCGGATACCCCTTGTCGGTTTAATAAATCTTTTTGACACTCCATTGATCAGCACTCTATAGGAGACCGAAGTGCTGCACTGAATTATCCAGGTCACCCAGAGGGGAGCAAAACCCATCTTCTCCATCAGCCTCCTTAGAAACAGCCACTCCACTCTATCATAAGCTTTACTCATATATATTTTTATCGCCATGAACTTTTTTCGACAAGCAGGGTTAGAATGCAGAGCGTGAAAGTTTTCTTGCGCTATAAGTATGTTGTCTGTAATTTGTCTTCCTGCCACAAAGGTGGATTGCGTCTCAGAGATTAGCTCTGGAAGAAGTCTCTTCAGCTGGATGCTAAGCACCTTTGAGATAACTTTATAGCATACATTGCATAGGTCGGAAACCTGCCATGTCTCGGGGTTTATCTCCTTTCGGAATTAAGAAAATGTTTGTCTCGTTGATCCTCTCGTTGAAAGTCCCGGAGCTGAGGAATTCTCTAATCAATTGCAGAAGATCTGCCTTTATAATCTCCCAAAACGTTTGAAAAAAGAGAGCATTCATCCCATCAGGACCAGGGACTTTTCCGGAGTTTAGCAAAAACAGGGCGTGTTTCACTTCTTCTTCTGTCACCTCTCGAGTGAGACTCTCGTTCATAGCCTCTGAAACTTACTTGGGAACATCTTCTTGCTCGGTAGAGGAAGTGAAGAGATTCGAGGAATAATCCACCGCAAGTTTCTCAATTCTCGCCTCTGTATCGATCCAAACCCCGTCTTGGTTGGAAAGACCGAGGATCCAGTTTCTTGTCCGTCTTAGTTTTGTGGAGGCGTGAAAAAAATTTAGTATTCTTATCACCCTATTTTAGCCAATTAACCCTACTTTTTTGTCTCCAATAGGGTTCCTCCTCCCTATAAGCCTTGTATAATCGCCATTTGAGTTCAAGAAGCTCTTCCGATGAGGTATTTTCATCCTCTTGAGATTTATCTATCTCATCTTGAAGGATTTAATAAGTTTTTCCGAATTGGTTTGGGTGCCTTTTTCCATTTGGAAATTGCACCGCGGCATGTACGGATACGACATGTGAAAGGCTTTCGTGATGTTGTACTTGACACACCCCAACCTTCTTTCACAGCCTCAACCAACCCTGGTTTACCAATCCATCTTTTATCAAATATAAGCTACGGGTATATGTTTGAGGGGTTGAGCGGATGTGAGCTAGGAGTGGTCTATGATCAGAACCCCATAGCTTTAGATACTCCACAACAGTGTGGGAAAAATGTTGTGCCAGTCTTCATTACCCATGGCCCAATCCAATCGACATTTAACTACACCATTTTTCTGCCTACCAACCCATGAGAATGAGTTTCCTTGGAAAGGGAAATCAACCATGCCACAATTCTGGATCATGCTCGAAAAGAGAGGAAAGAGGCCTCGGATCGTCGTTTACCGCCACTTTTTTCATCGTTCCTTGTGATTTCGTTAAAGTCTCCAATGATAAACCACGGGCCAGAACGAGAGATTCCTATTGGATTTAACCTCTCCCAAACATAATCTTGGTTTTTGACAACAGGATCACCATAAATGAAATTCATACAAACTCTATTACCATCAATAATAGTCTCGACATCAACCAAACGGTCATTAAGTAACATAATCTTAACCGAAAAATCTTTAAAATAAAAAAGAGGTAAACCTCCACTGTTTCTTACAGGGTCAACAGTGTGGAGAAAATCTAAACCTAGAGAAACTTGCAATTCTTGCAGAAAAAATGGTCATTCTTAGTTTCAGATAAAAACATGAAACCTGAAGAGTACTTTCGGGATAACTCTACCAGTCGGCGTTTGGGGAGCTTAGCGCCCGCCCCTTGGCAGTTCCATGCTAGAATCTTCATTCAGGAGGCTTCAGAGGGCTCTGATCCTCCACATCACAATCTTTGTTCTTGGTCACCTTGGAAAACTTGCTTTTTGGAACGAAAATTACCTCAGAGGAAGGGATGGAAGGGGCGCTTGGCTTGCCCTTTCCTTTTGTGGCATCAACTGTCGAAGAAACAAATTTTCTCTTCGGTGTACTCTTTCCTTGATACGCCTTCAGCTTCTTTGATGCTGCAGCCTGCGCCTTTAGGCTCTTGGGGATCTTCTTCTTTGAGCCTGTCTTTGCTGTTTGTGCTCTTGAAGGTAATCTCTCTCTCTTGCTGGCTGGCGAATGAGAGGATGCCGTAGCTGCTCCACTTGACCCATGAAAAATTGGTCTCACATTTTCAGAAATGGTCCTCTCCAAACTCTCCACCAGGGCTTCGCTTGCTTTCATTTTTTCTTCCGCCAACTCTTCATCGAGCAAATCATCATCCTCCAACATCGCTTCCAACATCATTAGAGAATCATCACCCTCCTTCTCACACTCATCCAGAATCCTCAAATCCTCAGCTACGAGCTCAGTATCATCATCCGCATCTTCAGCATGGTCCTCCCAATCAGTGGGAACACATTCATTACCAAAGATACTCTTCCCATCTTCAGCTTCTGTATCGGTCTCTTGCACCGAAACCAGATGGTTCACAACATGAGGAACAGACTCACCAACTGGTGGAAAAGAATTCATACCAAAACCAGATCCAACTTCAAAGAGCCTTGGTGAGGATTCTAAATCTTCATTATCACTAAACTCATCCTCCTCCTCAGATATGGCTTTCCTTTTCCCTGCCACAGCGATCTCAGCCTTCCTCGGAGGAGATGACGGGTTGGAGCTTGGTTCTGAGATTCTCACACTGGTCTGTCAGACAGGAGAACGGTGATTTCCCCACACGTCGAAACTTTGGTCCACTCTTTAGAAAGATCTCTGTCGAGATGGAGACAAACCGCTCCTTCGAAAATTGCCTCATCTTCTCTCAGTAGAGGACGCGAGTTTTCTTGGCGTGAGGCTCCAGAATCTTCACCGCGGCGGTTGCGGGATCCAGTGGAAGACTCAAAAGAGGGCTCCCGATTACGGGGATGTCTTTGGCGGCGATCTTCCCTCAGTCTGCTCCACACAGAATCACGCATCTCATCTGTTTTCTCTGCTTTGCTTCTCCGATACAGGGAGCGACGAACGTTGGTTGACAGAGGGAGATGTGCAGATCGAGGCGGCTCCCTAGCAGTTGCAGCTCTTGAGGTGTTGTGAGACCGTCGTAGTTCCTCATGGCGAGACTGAGGACGAGGTGGGAGACGAGAGCCTCCTTGGATCTCAGGAGAGGAGTGAAACCTCTCTTCACGAGGTGCTCTGTTTCTGGAGTCGTCTTGAGAAGCAGAAGGAAGACGTCTCTCTCTAAGACGGTGACGCTCACTCTCAGAGAGGAGAGGACATGTTGCTTCTTCATGAGAGATCATGAGACAGTGGAAACAGTAGCGGTAAAGCTTATCATCTCAAGAGTGACTGTGACCTCATCACCATTGTCAAACTGAGCTTTCTTCTTCATCTTCAAAGGCTGTGTGACGTCAACACTGACCAAGACACTTCCCTCTTTTTCATCCACGGCTTCAACAAACCCCAAAGCATCTCCAATCTTCTTGAAGGCTAGCTCAACCCAGTAGTGTAAGGGAATGCCTCGGATCCTGACCCAAAAGGTAACAGAACTCGGGAAATTGTCCTGGAGATTTGGTTCCCATCGCTCAAGAGCAAAGGTCCACTTATTGAAGTGGCAAGGTCGCTTCTTTAACACCTTCTGGAGGTCATCTTCCGAGTCAAAATCGAAATGGAACCGTCCATTTCCAAGGTCCACACCCCGAACTCGTCCTGCAACATCCCGTATACCAGATCTAGGCATGAAGGCAAGCAGAGCATCGATGCTTCTTCCACCGGTGTGGAAAGTTCTCCCTATGAGGGTAAGCCTGAAACGAGCTAGGAGAGCTGAGTTGTCGAAGGGTGGGATTATCACAGATTCGTCCTTCTCTTGCGAGGGAGATTTCTTGCCAGAAAGATCTTGAGAAGACCGAGACATAGTCGGTTGAGAGGTAGAGAATAAAAAGGCAAAGAGCAAAAGGGAGAAAAGAGAAAAAAGATGGAAACGAGTTGAAGGAGAAAAGAAAATGACAAGTTTGAGTGAGAAAGATGAGACAAAAGGGAGAAGGAATTAAATGAAAAGAGACAGATGTGGGAAAAGAAACAGAGAACAAAGAAAAGCACACAGCTCGATGGGAAATGTTGTGAGAGAGGAAGCTAGATCTGTCGGGAATCAAGTAGCAAGAGCCTTCTTAAAAACTATGTACAAAACGGCGCGAGAGAGAAAAAACGTGCTAGGGAGAACTCCATCGCAAATGTGAAAGGGACATCTGGTTCTGCAGGGAGTATCTGATCCCGATGAAGAGTGTCAACGGACTATTATCAACGGAATATTATTCTATCTTTTTAAAGCTTCCGCTACATCAGTTGGTATCAGAGACAGCACTTTGATTTCTCAATCAAAGTTCGGTTCGGTGTGCTTGATTACCATGTTGCTCAAGTATTTTTACCCTACTGATGAAGATCTCTTTGTTTATTCTGAATATCTGTCTACAAAATTCAGAGAAATTGTTGGAGATCCAGTCTTTGATGTTTATGATGACGAATATCAAATTCAAGACAAAGACAATGGATTCGTTCTTCAAGAGGTGGACGATCTGAAAGTTGAAGTTTATTCCCCAATTAGCATGTTAAATCACGTGGAATGCAATTGGAAAATCAAGCTTTGATTTGGTCTTATGCAACACCAAGCCCATTGGAAAGTACGTTTTATCATATCATGGAGGATAAGGTTAAGTGGAGTTACCACTTCGTCAAGAGACCTGTAGTGCATCCTTATGCGAGAGTTGATATTGATGAAGTCTGTCAAAATTGTTTATCGTGCATGAAGCATATTATCATTGGAAGTTTAGAAAAAAAGAAAAAAAGTTATTGGATTCAAATATATGGAGTTTTGGAATCGATGACTACGGCTAAGATTCGAGGACAAATCTTTTCATCGTCGGAGAGAATGATGCAGAGAGATATTTAGAAATATTCCAGATATTTTAGTTATTATTTAATTATTTAGAAAATTTCCTTTTATTGTTTTAGGGTTTCTAGTGTTTTGGATTTATTATAAATAAGCCGTTTAGGTCTAAGTTGTGTGTTCAGTTTTTGATTGATTAATAAAATTGAACTTTTGTCTCTTTGTTCATTGTTTTCGGTAGATCTAGAGAGATCTCAATGAATCTAAGAAGGCTTGATTTATTCGGGTATTCTCAAACTAAACGAATAATCTTGCAATTATCAGAATTTTCCGGTATTCTCAGAATCAACGGACTACTATTCTATCTTTTTAGACCTTCCGCTACATCAGTTGGATGATGCAGAGAGATATTTAGAAATATTCCAAATATTTAGTTTTATTTAGTTATTTAGATAATTTTATTTTATTATTTTAGGGTTTTCTAGTGTTTTGGATTTATTATAAATAAGCCGTTTAGGTCTAATTTGTGTATTCAGTTTTTGATTTATTATTAAAATTGAGCTTTTGTCTCTTTGTTCATTGTTTTTGGTAGATCTAAAGAGATCTCAACGAATCTAAGAATGCTTGATTTATTCGAGTATTTTCAGACTAAACGAATAGTCTTGCAATTATCAGAATTTTCTGGGTATTCTCAGAATCAACGGACTACTATTCTATATTTTTAAAGCTTCCGCTTCATCAGTTGGTATCAAAGACAGCACTTTGATTTCTCAATCAAAGTTCGGTTCTGTGTGCTTGATTACCATGTTGCTCGAGTTTTTAATTTTATCCTACTGATGAAGATCTCTTTGTTTCTTCTGAAGATCTGTCCACAAAATTCAGAGAAATTGTTGGAGATCCAGTCTTTGATGTTTATGATGACGAAGATCAAATTCAAGACAAAGACAATGGATTCGTTCTTCAAGAGGTGGACGATCTGAAAGTTGAAGTTTCTTCTTCAATTAGCATGTTAAATAACGTGGAATGCAATTTAGAGAATCAAGCTTTGATTTGGGCTTATGCAACACCAGACCCATTGAAATGTACGTTTTATCATATCATGGAGAATAAGGTTAGATGGAGTTACCACTTCGCAAGAGACCTGTGGTGCATCCTTATGCGAGAGTTAATATTGATGAAGTCTGTCAAAATTGTTTATTCGTGCATGAAGCATTTTATTATTGGAAGTTTAGAAAAAAGAAAAGAAGTTATTAGATTCAATTATAGAAAGTTTTGGAATCGATGACTACGGCTAAGATTCGAGGACGAATCTTTTCGTCGTCGGAGAAAATGATGCAGAGAGATATTTAGAAATATTCCAAATATTTTAGTTATTTATTAATTATTTAGATAAGTTTTATTGTTTTAGGATTTTCTAGTGTTTTGGATTTATTATAAATAAGCCGTTTAGGTCTAAGTTGTGTATTTAGTTTTTGATTGATTAATAAAATTGAGCTTTTGTCTCTTTGTTCATTATTTTTGGTAGATCTAGAGAAATCTCAATAAATTCGGATATTCTCAGAGTAAACGAATAATCTTACAATTATTAGAGTTTTCCAGGTATTGTGAGAATTAACGGACTACTACTCTATCTTTTAAAGCTACATCACTAAGTGATTGCTATTGAAATGTTAAAAGGAGACCTATCTTCAACTATGAATCTGATATATTGTAGTATTGCATATTTTGGCGTTTTCTTCTTGTTGTTTTGAGTCCCCATGCACCGTTTTTAATCGCATTTCTTCAACATCCACAGCGAAAACCAAACAATTGTCTTCTATTAACTATGTTTCCGATACTAGTAGTCTTAATATTAACAAGAACTCGAAGAATTTCCATTCAATACTCTCACAGATCTCTTGTTTACTGAAGAACAAGAAAACAAGAAATAAAATATGCAGCAAAATCCTCTTCTTCTTGTTCTGTTTCTCCTCTGTTTCTCAATCGGGTCAAGTTCGGGTCAAACCGACGATCTTCAAACTCTCCTCAAAGTGAAGAAGTCTCTCTTCACAAACCCTAAAGAAGAAAACGCTCTCCGAAACTGAATTCCGATGATGATCCCAATTTCTCCAACTGGACCGGCCTCACGTGCGGTGGTCGTATTATCATCGGTTTAAATCTATCCGGTTTAGCCTTAACCATTCGATTTCTCTTTCAGTTGGCCGGTTTACTAACCTGACCCACCTCGATCTGTCATCAAACCGTCTCACCGGTCCCATCCCAACTACTCTCTCCAACCTCTCAACCTCATTGCATCTCTTCCCTAAACCAACTCAGTGGCGAGATTCCGAGTCAACTCGGATCGCTTGTCAAACTCAAAACCTCACAAGAATCAATTTTTCCAGCAACAAGCTCAATGGCTCGATTAGTCCGGTTCAAGCTCTCACCTCTCCTTTGATGTCACAGACAACAGGAGACATACCTCTTCAGCTAGGGAAGTCTCCGAGTCTTGATCGTTTAAGGTTAGGGAAGAATCTGTTCACAGGGATAATTCCTTGGACATTTGGGAAGATCCAAGAGCTGTCTTTGTTGGATATCTCAAGCAATTCTCTCACAGGAATCATACCGGTAGAGCTCGGTTTGTGCAAGAAGCTGACACACATTGTCATTGATCTCAACGATAACTTTCTTTCAGGGCTTATACCTTCATGGCTTGGCAAGCTTCCATTGTTTGGTGAGCTCAAGCTTTCTTCTAATCAGTTTACAGGGTCTCTCCCTAAAGAGATCTGCAACTTAACCAAGCTTCTCGACACTTTGCAACCAGCAACTTAACTAAAATTTTATACAAAGAGTTGAAGAATTATATTTTACTAAGTTAATAGTTAACGACACTTTGTAGTTACTATTTTATCTTCATAGGAGTGTATATTGGAGAACAAACACATAGCATAAATTACAAGTATAGTATTGTCATTTTGTTTCTTGTGTTGGAGAGACTCTAGCACGTGTAGAGGGTCTCTAGTTAGGTCCACTAAAACAAGTGTCGACCTCTCATACGCTAACGTATTAAGCGTGTACTTTGAGCTATAAAGCTCGGGATATTGACTCTCTAGTTGAGTTAAGTAGTAAGAGCATCTCCAACTATGGTCTGTAATGAGAGGGTTTAATTTTATTTTTTAATAGTTTTTTATCACTTTAATATTTAAAAATCTTTTTTAAATTTCATTGTTTTAGTTTCCAATGATAGATCTAATGGGAGACTCTAAAATTTTTGTTTTATTATATTTTTCCAAATACAAACATTTTATTAATAAAAATTATTTCATTGATTTAAAATTTAAACATAGAATACAGAAAAGCAAAAAAAAAAGTGTTTTCTAAGAAGAAGAGAGTTTTCTCCAAAACAAAATAAATGGGAAACACTCCAGATAAAAAAGAATGTTTCATTAAAGAAACAAAAATAAAAATAAAAATCTTTCAACCAATCAGACAATAACACGTATGAGGCTCAGTTGAGTCTTTAAAAATCTTTAAAATAGAAACGGTTTTACTTATATTTACCATTAAAACATTATTTTTAAAACTAAACTCCCACTAAAACCTCATTAGAAATCATGGTTGGAGGTGGTCTAAGTATAATGCTCGGAATTTTTTAATTCTTCAAAATTTGATAAATTATTATTTTTAAACAAAACAGGAAACCTTTTATCTATTATGATTTTTTTTAAATGGAAACCTTTGATCTAAACTTATCTTGCATTCTAAATATATTTATGGCTGATTTTTATATTTATTAATCAGTACTACAATAATATTAGAGTTTTCTATATATCAGATATTTTAAGAAAAATAAACATCATCAAAAATATAAAATTTGATTGCTATGTACACGAAATAGAATCCACTAAAAATTAACATATGCATGGTAACCTATATCAATAAACATAAAAAACATAGAAAATTTAGATATCATCAAAAACATTTTTTTTCTTTTATATACTAATTGAGGTTCAATTGCATTTTTTTCTTTAAAAAAAAAACAGCCACAATTATTACCAACTCTAGTGATTAATCAAAAAAATGTTGTATTAGTATTACCAGCCTAAATAACTATTTCACATGCTTGAAATTGATCTTAAAATAAAAATGTCCAAAAGTCCAAACTATGCAAGTTTTTTAGCTGGATGCAACCGAATAGAAGAATTTCATTTGTTGACATCCTTATCAACCAAGAAATGTGCATCCTCATGTTTAATGCACATGACGCAGCTTAAGCAATCATACTTGGGAGAATCCATTGTGGCATTTCAATATTAGAAGACTGGTGCAATGTCCCATGTGAAATGGAGTCTCAGAAGAACGCATTTGCACAATGAGATATGCATGGAAGTGATTCAGACCTCAAAGAACAGATCCAATTAGTCGTTGCTATATTTTTTTCTGATATTGAAGAAACAAACATTCCTTTACATATAATAGCATAGATTACAAGTATAGAGTGTTGACTTTTTTTTGTTCCCTTGTGTAAAATGACCACTCCTTTCTCTATTTGTAAGTTTATTTGTAAACTAAAATTTTATACAAAGAGTTGAAGAGAATTAGCATTGGGATAATGAAACATTTATCTTGACCCCCAAATTTTTTTTTGAGGTTAAATATAAAAATTTCGGCCCCCAAATTGCAAAAAAAAAAAGTATATATTAATATTTTTCTTAAAATGTTACGTTTATGCCCCCAAATTTTCAGATTCTGAACAACATTAGGGTTAGCAAATTTGTGCTCGATCTTGAACAAGGTTTTACTAATTGGATATGACAAATCGCAACGATATGCTTAATGTTGTAAACAAAATGTGCATTAGTTGCTGCCTTCAGAATAAATTACTCAAATTAATGCCATTTTCTCAAAGTGTGCCATTTTCTTAATGATTTTTTTAAATGCTCTACCAATTAACACAAACAAATTAATGATTAGTAACGTCGTTTTCAAAACTAAATCCAACATTTACCTTACGAATGATTTGCATTCAAACTCTTAAAAACGATTAGGAAAGTCATTTAATTATGAAAATAAAAACGGTAATCTTTTGAATATCTCTCACAACAAAATCTCAACTTTAAATGCATATCCTTATCTTAACTTTACCCCCCACGAATTTCTCTCCTTAAACAACGAAAAAAATTTCAAAACCACAAATCTTGAAAACACATTTTCTTATATGCAAACACAAAAAACGCTACAATGGCACCTTCGAATCGCAACAACAACAACAACAACAACAACAACAGAAGAACAATGTCAGAGAACGACGACTTCTCACTTAGAGAGACATGTCCGAATATCGGTGGCGGAAGATCAAATTCCGGCGGCGAAATGGTGACGTCGTCATCATTCGATCTAGTGGAACGAATGACGTTTCTCTACATCCGGATCCTCAGGGCACAAGCTTTACCATCCAACGAATCATTCATCGAAATCACAATCGGAAACTACAAAGGAAGAACGAAACAGAGCACAAACCCTAACGCAAGCCCTGAGTTTCACGAAGTTTTCGCCTTTAACAAAGATCGTCTCCAAGGGAACGTCTTGGAAGTGGCTGTGAAGGCAAACGAAGAAGAGACAATCGGTAAATGTAAATTCGAAGTCGCTGAGATTCCGACACGCGTCCCTCCGGATAGTCCATTGGCTCCTCAATGGTATAGATTAGAAGATGGAAATGGAAACAGATTTGGAGGAGAGGTTATGTTGTCTGTATGGATGGGGACACAAGCCGATGAGGTTTTCCCTGAAGCTTGGCACTCAGATTCCGTTACGGTGAACGGAGAAAACGCGGTGATCGCGAGGTCTAAAGTGTATCTGTCTCCGAGGCTATGGTATTTGCGAGTGAATGTCATCGAGGCTCAAGATTTAGTTCCTTTGCAAGGAAACAGAACGAATCCAGAGGTTTTTGTAAAAGGGTCTCTAGGGAACATTGCTGTGAGGAGTAACGTTTCGCAGACGCGTACATTGAGTCCAGTTTGGAATGAGGATTTGATGTTAGTGGCGGTTGAGCCGTTTGAAGACAGTTTGATACTTAGCTTGGTGGACAAGGTAGGTCAAAGAGAAGAAGTTTTAGGGAAATGTGAGATAAACTTATCTCAGGTTGAGAGAAGAGTGTTGCCTGGACCTGTACCGGCTCTTTGGTACAACCTCGAGCGTACCGGAGAAGAAGGAGGAGGAGGAGTATTCGCCGGGAGGATTCATTTGCGAGTATCATTGGACGGAGGCTACCATGTGCTTGACGAGACGATTCAATACAGCAGTGATTACAGAGCTTCAGCTAAAACTCTATGGACTCAAGCGATTGGTGTGTTGGAGCTTGGAGTCATAAGTGCGTCCGGTTTGATGCCGATGAAGTCACGGGACGGTCGAGGAACGACGGATGCGTATTGTGTGGCGAAATACGGGAGGAAATGGGTGAGAACGAGGACGATCGTCGATACTTTTAGTCCCAAATGGAACGAGCAGTATACTTGGGAGGTTTATGATCCTTGTACTGTAATAACCGTGGCGGTTTTCGACAACGTGAATATGATGTTGGTACCTGAAAACAACAACGGAAGAAGATCAGGACCGGTGGATTCGAGGATCGGTAAGATCAGGATTCGTTTGTCCACACTAGAAACAGACAGGATCTACACACATTCGTATCCGCTCATTGTTTTGAAACCGGACGGTGTGAAGAAAATGGGAGAGATTCAACTCGCGGTTCGGTTCTCATCTACTTCAACGATCGATATGCTTCAGAAATACTCAGAGCCTTTGCTACCTAAAATGCATTACCTAATGCCATTGTCTCTACGCCAGCTAGAGGGTCTTAGGTATCAAGCAAATCTCATACTTTGTATGAAGCTAGGCAGGACCGAGCCGCCTCTAGGACGTGATGTGATTGAGTATATGCTCGATTTCGGACATAACTCATGGAGTATAAGAAGAGGAAGAGCAAATTTCGCGAGGCTTGTCGGTTTCTTCTCAGCGTTTTGCGATTCTTGGACTTGGTTTGATTCGGTTTGCAAATGGAAGAGTCCGGTAACGACGATTCTTGCACATTTCATCTTCTTGTTCATTGTGTTTCTACCTAAGCATTGCGTTACCTCTCTGCTATTGTATTGCTTCGTGATCGGGTTTTATCGGTATCGTTTGCGACCTAGACATCCTCCTCACATGGATATAAAGCTGTCTCAGGCTGATTCTGCTTCACATGATGATCTCGACGAGGAGTTTGATGGGGTTCCGACCACGAAAAGTGGAGATTTGTTGAAGTCAAGGTACGATAGGTTAAGAGATATTGCAAGGAGGATGATGATGGTTTTAGGTGATTTGGCTACGCAAGGAGAGAGAGTGAAGAATCTTTTGAGTTGGAGAGATCCTAGGGCAACGTTTCTCTTCTCCACGTTTTGTTTGGCTGCTTGTGGAGTAATCTTCTTAGTCTCCATGAAACTGCTCATGACTTTGCTTGCGTTCTACGTCATGAGACATCCTAGGCTTAGGGTTTTTGATATACCTTCCATTCCTCAAAACTTCTTTAGGAGATTGCCTTCAAGAGCTGATAGTATGTTGTGATTTTTCCATTTTTTTTTATATTCTGCCTTGGTTTCTTTAAAATTATACACGTTTCTTTGATATCTTCATTTTACGAGATTGGTAATAATAATTTATTTCAAGTGAATTACTCATATAGTCATTTTTACCAGTGCTAAAGACCTTGATATATTTTCATAATCGACTCGAATCTATTACTTTCCAAAACAAATCCTATTAGCTGTTTAGCACCTAAGAAAACAATTCGTTAACTTTTATCAAAAAAAAAAAAAAAAAAAAAACAATACGTTAGGAAATTACAAATGGTGTCGTTTTATAAGAGCTCAAATATATAAACCGCGAAAGATCGTCCAAATAACTTTAACTTGGGATAAATTTGATATCTGAAACTTTCTCTCATGTTTCGAAATATCTAGAAACGTAAGGGTCTTAGAGTAAATAGTAAATACTAAAAACATAAGAAAAGCCCTAAACCCCAATTTCAGTGTGCCTGCTAATTTCTAGGAAGGTCGCCGGCCGGCGTTTCTTAATCTCCGGCATCAATGGCCATGCTCTCGCATCGTCTCCGGCGAGTTCTTGTCGCCGTACCTTCCTATTTCCAACGATCATTCTCTCTATCTCGAACCTCCGATTTCCCTTCAGTGTCATCTCTGTTACCGCGAACCGTGGTGAGACAACCGACGGAATTTTGTCGATCTCCGGCGAGGCTATTCTCGACGAATCAATATCAGTACGACCCTTTCACTGGAGAAGATTCCTTCACGCCCGATAACGAAGGATGCGATTTTAACCATTGGCTAATCACAATGGATTTCCCCAAGGAAAAATTTCCGTCTAGAGAGGAAATGATTTCGATCTTCGAGCAGACATGTGCTAAAGGGCTTGGTATAAGGTTCGTATTTTTTGGAAGTTTTTTGTATACATTGAAATTGCTGCTAATCGAACTCATCTTCTTCACTATACTGCAAAGAAAATTGTTTCAATTGTGAAAAAAGTGTTCTCTGCATCTTTCTGGAATCGAACTCATGTACTGTTGCTTTCTTCAGCTTGGAAGAAGCTAAGAAGAAAATCTATGCTATTTGCACAACTAGTTACCAAGGTTTTCAAGCAACCATGACGATAGCAGAAGTTGAAAAATTTAGAGGTATGATTAGAAGCATTTGTTTCATTTGATCTTTTTGAGAATGGAAATATATGATCTTGATTTGTTGACACTTCGATTTCTTTTGTTTGTTTCTGGTATTTGTAAACAGATTTGCCTGGGGTTCAATACATAATTCCTGATTCTTATGTTGACGTAGAGAACAAAGTGTATGGAGGTAAGTTGCGAGTTTGTGAAGTCATCTTATTGTGGAAAGTTGTTTTTGTAAGTAAGTTGTGTTTTTATTCAACTTTCTTGGGATTCATTTTCAGGAGACAAATACGAGAATGGAGTGATCACGCCTGGGCCAATTCCTGTCCCAACTAGAGAAGGATTTGATTCTCTAGAGAAGAAGGATACGCCGGGACAAGAGCAAGCTCAAAGAAGCCAACCACCTTCCGATGAGGGCACAACCTCAACACAAGTACAAGATCAAGGAAGTCAAATGCCTCTAGATCAGAGGAGCTTCGGACAAGGGCAAGGAACTCTGGCTCCAAGACAAGGGCAAAGTCAGGGAAGTCTAATGCCAATCTCAGGTCAAGGAAGTCAAATGCCAACCTTGAGGCAAGGGCAAGGTCGTGGTCAACAAAGTCAAATGCCTTCATTTCGAGGGAGTTTCAACCAAAGCCAAGGAACTCTGTCCCTAGGACAAAGACAAGGTCAAGGAAATGAAATGCCTTCATTTCAGAGGAGTTTCAAGCAAGGCCAAGGAACTTCGTCCATAGGACAAGTGCAAAGTCAAGAAAGTCAAAGGCCTTCATTACAACAGGGTTACAACCAAAGTCAGGTAACACCACTCCATGGACAAGGAAGTCGAATTCCTTCCTATCAGATGGGTTACAGCCAAGGGCAGGGAGCTCAGACGCCTCCATGCCAAGGATTACCAAGTAATTATGGTCAAGGAGCATTGACTAACTACAGCCAAGGGGCATCACAGGGAACCTTTATCCAAGGGACACAAGAAAATTACAACCAAACGGGCATAGGGAATTACACTCCGCAGAGTGGTGGAAATTATGGTCCTGCACAAGGAGCAGGAGGTCCAGAATTTGGCCATGGGTATCCTGGAAACGGGCAAGGTCATGGAGGTCCATTAGTGTCTCCATATCAATTAGTGTCTCCATATCAGGGGAGTTACAACCAAGGTCAGGGAACTTCAATGCCAGGGCAAGGTCAAGGAAGTCAAGTACCTTCCTATCAGATGGGTTACAGCCAAGGTGTGGGAGCTCCGGTGCCTCCATACCAAGTAAACTACAACCAAGGAACACTAGGCAACTATGGTCAATGGGCATTTGTGAACTACGACCAAGGGCCACCACATGGTAACTTTTTCCAAGGACCACAACAAAATTACAACCAAGGTGGTCAATGGAATTTCAGTCCACCGAATGGTGGAAACTATGGTCCTCCACAGTTTGGAAATCAAATGCCTCAATATCAGTTGGGTTACAATCAAGGCCAAGGAGCTCCGTATCCTGTACAATGGCGATGTCAAGGATGTGGAATGCTTTCATATCAGGGTAGTTACAATCAAGGCCAAGTAACACCAAGTCCTGGACAATGGCAAGGTCAAGGATGTGCAATGCCTTCATATCAGGCGAGTTATAGCCACGGCCAAGGAGCATCGGTGCCTCACCAAGGAAATTTCAATCATGAAATACAAAGCAGTTACGGTCTAGGGACATCTGCAAACTTCAACCAATGGACTCCAGTGAACTATAACCAAACGGGGCAAGGGAATTACAATCTACAAAGTGGTGGAAACTATGGACCTACACATGGATCAGCAAGGTTTCCTGGACAAGGAGAGAATCAAACATTTCAACAAGAGAATCAGAGAAACGTAGCAGGTGACTGGAGGAACAACAGTAATCCTACAGACCCAACAAAAGTAAGTTCTCGAACATAAGAGTTTACTCAGTTTTCTTGTCTTAGAACTCCATAAAAACAAAATTCTCCAGCTCTTAATTCATTGTTCTGTACACATTAATTAGACGATTCCTTTGTTTCAGATTCCGCGTTGAATAAGACACGGCCAGAGGAATGAAGGAAATGTGAAACTTGCAGGTGATCACGAACCCTTCTGCTTAGAGCGGCGATCGATGAGAAAACAAAATTCTAGAATTAAAAAAAGTTGCATTGGGCCTAACCACCAGTGCAGATTTTGGCTAGTGTTTGGCGGTACGAGTAAGTAGCTCATGTTCACAACCCAACTAGCAGGCGTTTTATCTGTAGCCGTCAAGCATTATTTGCCATTGCGAACTCAGGCTGTAGCTTCTGATTTATCTCTTCAGAAACCCATGATGTACCTAAAAAAGACGTAAAGACTAACAAAATATTTGTCTTTTATATACAGTTGACTAGTTGACGTGCTTGACTTTCGAAAAGTCTTCGATATTCTTTTGTGGTTGTGTTTCGTCTTGAAGTTGCATTATCATCTCACAAGGCAAATGCATTTTTCAATTTGTTCGTCTCTTTGTATTTCTTTCCTGCAAAATATGAGAAGCATGAGACTATTTCTTTTATTTGCTTTCAATTATCTCTTGTTACTTGAAGCATATAGGTTTACCGAAGAAACTGATAAGCAATCATTGCTTGAGTTCAAGTCTAAAGTTTCTGAAGACAAAAAAGCCATCTTGTCCTCATGGAACAATTCATTCCCTCTCTGCAGTTGGAATAGGGTTAAATGTGGCAGCAGACACAAGAGAATTATTGGTTTAGACGTCAGAGGATTGCAGTTGGGCGGGGTGATATCGCCATTTATTGGTAATCTTTCGTTTCTCAAAGTACTTCTTCTTGAAAATAACTCTTTTGGTGGTAGCATCCCTCAAGAGTTGGGAAGCTTGTTTAGGCTTCACCACTTGCTTTTGGGCTATAATTTTTTTAGAGGAAGGATTCCATCCCGTCTGTTTAACTGCTCTAGATTGACGACCCTTGATTTATCTTCTAATCATGTTGGAGAAAGTGTCCCTTCAGAACTCGGATCATTGACAAAGCTCATTGTTTTAGATCTTAGTGGAAACAACCTGAAAGGAAAGCTCCCTGCCTCTCTAGGAAATTTGACATCCCTCACAGTACTTAGCTTCAACGAAAACAATTTAGAAGGAGAAATTTCTGATGTTGTAGCTAGATTGACTCTAATGGCGGCTCTTGATATAGGATTGAACAGCTTCTCAGGAGCTTTTCCTCCCCCAATCTACAATATGTCCTCACTTGAGCTTTTAAACATTGCTTATAATGGTTTCTCGGGGAGCCTGAGGCCTGACTTTGGTGATTTGCTACCAAACCTTGAAGAGTTAACTATCGGAAGTAACTACTTCACAGGAGCCATTCCAACAACACTTGCAAATATTTCGAATCTTCAAAAGTTGGCAATGGAGCTGAACGGTCTGACGGGAAGTATACCTCCAAGCTTTGGAAAATTAGGGAATTTGCAAGTTCTATCACTTGGTAGTAATTCTTTGGGAAGTCGCTCTTTTGGAGATCTTGAATTTCTTGGGGCTTTAACTAACTGCACCCAACTGAATGTCTTAACTGTGTCTCGCAATAGACTTGGCGGTGACTTGCCTGCCTCCATTTCCAATTTTTCCATGAACCTCACCATATTAGACCTTTATAAGAATTTCATCTCTGGAAGCATTCCACATGACATTGGGAATCTGATAGGCCTACAACAACTTTCGTTGGGAAACAATCTATTGACAGGAGCACTCCCAACCTCTCTGGGGAAGCTTTCAGGCTTAGTAGAATTTAGTGTTTCTTCAAATAAAATGTCAGGTGAAATACCCTTTTCTATAGGTAACATAACTCAGTTAGGAAAACTCTATTTATACAACAATAGCTTTGAAGGAACCATTCCTGCAAGTCTTGGTAACTGCAGCTATTTGCTAGAGTTGATTATTGAGCATAATAAGTTGTATGGGACTATACCTCAGGAGATTATGCAAATTTCACCTCTTCTTTTGCTAAGCATGTCAAGTAATTCATTGACCGGGTCTCTACCAAAAGATTTTGGAAGACTTGAACATCTTGTCAACCTATCTGTAGCGCATAATAAACTGTCAGGAAAACTTCCAGAGACTTTGGGAAAGTGTCTCTCGATGGAAGGACTTTATCTGCAAGGAAACTCTTTTGATGGATCCATTCCAGACATAAGTGGGTTGGTGGGTGTTAAAGAGGTTGATTTCTCGTACAATAATCTCTCTGGAAGTATACCTCGATATCTTGCAAACTTTAACTCTTTGGAGTATGTCAATCTATCTTATAACAATTTCGAAGGAAAGGTGCCAACTGAAGGAAAGTTCAAGAATGCTACTATCGTTTCTGTATTTGGAAACAGTAACCTATGTGGAGGCGTCTTGGAATTGAAACTGAAGCCTTGCTTTTCGCAAGAACCAGCGAAGGGGACAAATCATTCCTCTTCCAAAAAGAAAGTAGTGGTTGGAGTTTGCGTAGGCATGTCTTTGCTTTTATTGTTGTTCATAGCTTCAGTTTCACTATGTTGGTTCAAAAACAGAAAGAAGAACAAGACCAATGAAGCAGCTCCTTCAGCTGTGGGGGCTTTCCATGAAATGATAAGCTATGGAGACCTTAGAATTGCCACAGATGGCTTCTCTTCGAATAATTTGATTGGGTCAGGCAGCTTTGGGACCGTGTTTAAGGCATTGCTTCCAGCAGATAACAAAATTGTTGCAGTGAAAGTTCTAAACATGCAGAGACATGGAGCAATGAAGAGTTTTATGGCAGAATGTGAAGCCTTGAAAGACATAAGGCATCGGAATCTTGTGAAGCTGTTGACGGCTTGTTCGAGTATTGATTTTCAAGGGAATGAATTCAGAGCTCTGATCTATGAGTTCATGCCAAATGGAAGCTTGGATATGTGGCTGCACCCTGAAGAAGTAGAAGAGGTTCGTACGCCCCCAAGAACCTTGACACTTTTTGAAAGGCTTAACATATCCATAGACGTGGCTTCTGTTTTGGACTATCTTCATGTTCATTGCCATGAAGCTATTGCTCATTGCGATCTCAAGCCAAGCAACGTCCTTCTAGACGATGATCTAACCGCTCATGTTAGCGACTTTGGTCTGTCTCGGATCCTCCTCAAATTCGACCAGGAGTATTTCCTCAATCAACTTAGCTCAACTGGAGTCAGAGGAACCATTGGCTATGCCGCACCAGGTATAAACTATCACACAAATAACTAATGTTTGAGTCAAGAAAGTTAGTTAAATTCTGTTATTACTTCAATCTTGTTTCTATAAATTATGGTGCAGAATATGGAATGGGAGGGCAGATATCAATTCATGGTGATGTGTATAGTTTTGGGATTCTCCTTTTGGAAATGTTCAGCGGTAAACGACCAACTAATGAGTTGTTTGGAGGAAACTTTACCCTCCACAGCTACATCAAATCTGCCTTGCCAGAGCGAGTTTTGGATGTCATGGACGAGTTGATTCTTCACAATGGTCTCAGAATCGGATTTCCTGTTGCTGAGTGCTTGAAAATGGTTTTGGAGGTGGGACTTAAATGTTGCGTAGAATCTCCTATGAACCGTTTGGCAATGAGTGAGGCTGTAAAAGAATTAATCTCAATCAGAGAGAGGTTCTTCAAATCCAGAAGAAGAGATAGGCATTGAAGTGTTTCTGCTTCCCTCTACAAACGTGAAGACTTGTTGGGAGGTACTAAAATATCTTCTTCATATATGTGTGTTTCTTTATTTTTTCTCTATATTTGCAACATTGTTAACGAATGCTCTACTTTATTTGCAGATAAAAGATGAATGTTGTGTTACTATGTTAAAGCTCTAAACTTATTTTATTGATGAGGCTGATGTAGCCGAATTAGTCAGTCCCATGTAATGAACGGTAAGTGCTTCCGTGACTTCGTTGATCAGCTTATGAGTCTGATTCGAACAAAACTCAGAACAGAGTATATACAGGCAAAGGGATGAATGTTGTGTTCCCAGCTTTTATTTGAATTTTTTAGGCTTTCGTAATGAAGTTGTTTGTGTGCTTTCGCCAATGTCATGTTGATAAAGTATTCTCCCGATAAGTGAGTTAAGGTCGGAACAAAGGGTTGAAATGTGTGTCTATATTAAAAAATCGTAAAGAACTCTTACCTCTTCATGATCTCCTTGCTTACAGTATATATTTAGACCTGAGAATGTTTGATTATAAAGAGCAGAACATATTCACTAGTGTTGATGTTGAGTTATATAAGTTGTTGCTTCTATTGGATTTTTAGCTTATATTACTTTTTAGCAGATGATTTGTAATCTATACTAGAGCTAGGGAAGCATGCTCGTTGATATGATACTTAAGTATATAATTTTTATACTTAAATCTTATTTTCGTCATTCTTCTCTATTCCTTTTCTTATCAATGTACCTGTAAAAACTGTATCAAAAATCCCAAATATTTATATCAAAGTAAACACAAGATGTACGGGTAAAACAATCCGGGAAGTCGTAAAGAGAGGCTAAAACCTCAAACTTTCTCAAAATTCCATAGAGAAGGAGAATTCTCCATCTCTCAATTATTGTTACGTATATATATTATATATGTTACTCAGAGAATTCAATATATATATATATATATATATTATTATTATTATTATTATTATTATTATTATTATTATTATTATTATTATTATTAGTATGAGCCATATTTTTAAAGGTAAGGTGGAGACAAATAACTCCACTAATGAAAATATAAAAATCACTTACTTCCCTTGTGAAGTTATCTTTTTACGTACAATGCATGTTACACTTTTTGTTGAACCTTAATGTTACACATTGTTTAAAGCTAATTTTAACAAAAACTTTTTCTAAAGAGAATATAAGCGTAAATTCAAATTTTTTGTTGTTTGTTGTTGCCTTGTTTGGAATCTTTATGGTAATTATTTTTTGTTAATCCTAACCAAACGAGACAATATGTATTATTGAGCAACTTGTGATAGTACGTACATTGGTATCAAGTAAGTGTGTGATTTTGGTCTTCCTCTTCATTTTTTTTAGGTATCAAATAATTCAGAGAAAACGACAAAAACAAGACCTTGAGTGTACAACCATTTGACAAAATGTCGAATGTGCTTTTTTTTTCTTGGAAAATTCCAATTTTATAACGAAACAAGAAGCCTTCAAGATATGGAAATCAAAAACATGAGAAACGAGAAAGCAGCACATCCATCAAAGCCGAGATTAGAGAAGAGGGAACCGTTGAATTCAAATGATGTTGAGATTTAGTGTTAGAAAATCGATTTGAGAGTTTTTGTTTTGTTAAATGCGATTTTAAAGAAAATTAAACCCTGTTAAATCGATCCGTCAAATCAGTTAACGACTGAATTTATGTGGCTCATGAGAATTTAGGAATAATAATAGTAACATAACGTGGAGATTTATTATGTTCACATGACAAAAGTTGGACTTGTTGAATGGTTAATTGATGATTATTTTGGCTTTTTTTTTTTTGTAAATCTATAACCAAATTTCTACTGATACATATTAAAAACATACAAATTACAGTATTAAACCAGACATCAACACCAAGATTAGTTTCTCAAAGTTAGTAATTCAGATGATCACAATGCGTTTGACATGTAAAATTATTTTACCAATTAGATTTTAACATAATATTAGCATAAGAAGAGAAAATTACAAATCCTTAACATAATAATATAATCTTCAAATAAAATAGTAAATTAGTTATTAATATTGAAAGAAAATTATTATAATTACGCATTCAATAAATAATGATTGCAATGTCAGATAGGCGATCAGATTTTGATATACAAAACATGTAACTAATGAAAAACCAAAAGAAAAGTTAAACAACAGTAAAACACTACACGGTTTCCCATTGTGAACGCAGGCCTCAGTCTCTGATTTATTTCTTCCTAAAACAGTTAAACCATGATTTACGTTTTGACTAAAAAAACACGTTAAAAAAAAAAAAAAAAAAAAAAAAAAAAACACGTTATGACTACTTCATTTTCCACAAGTCTTGCAATTTTCTTTTTAAGGTTGTATTACGTCTTCTAAGTTGCATGCATTGTCATTGCAAGGCAAAGACATTTCGATTTTTCAATTTGTTCGCCTCTTTGTATTTCTTTCCTGGAAAAAAAAAAAAAACATAAGAAGCATGAGACTCTTTCTTTTACTTTCTTTCAGTGGTTTCATGTTACTTGAAGCATACAGATTTACCGATGAAACTGATAAGCAAGCTTTGCTCCAGTTCAAGTCTCAAGTTTCTGAAGACAAACAGAAATTATTGTCCTCATGGAACAATGTAGTCCCTCTCTGCAACTGGACTGGAGTTACCTGTGGCCACAAACACAAGAGAGTTACACTTTTGAACCTTGGAGGATTGCAATTAGGCGGAATGATATCGCCATCTATTGGTAATCTTTCCTTTCTCAAATCACTTAATCTCGAAAACAACTCTTTTGGTGGAACAATCCCTCAAGAGGTGGGAAACTTGTTTAGACTTGAACACTTGTTCATGGGAATTAATTTTCTCAAAGGAGGGATTCCAGCCACTCTGGTTAACTGCTCTAGATTGTCAATCCTTGATTTATTTTCAAATTCTCTGGGACAAGGTGTTCCTTCAGAACTAGGATCATTGACTAAGCTTGTTGCTTTACATCTTGCTAGAAACAACTTCAAAGGAAAGCTCCCTGTGTCTCTAGGAAACTTGACATCACTCATTCAACTAAGCTTTGCAGAAAACAGTTTAGAAGGAGGAATTCCTGATGATATGGCTAGATTGACTCAAATGGTGACTCTTGATTTATCATTGAATAGTTTCTCAGGTGTTTTTCCTCCTGCAGTTTACAATATGTCCTCACTTGAGTCTTTGTACATGTTCCACAATCGTTTCTCTGGGATCCTGAAGCCTGATTTTGGTAATTTGCTGCCAAAACTTCATGACTTATATATTGGAAGTAACTCTATCGCAGGAGTCATTCCAACAACACTGGCAAATATCTCGACTCTTCAAATGTTGTCAATGCCGTATAACAGTCTGACGGGAAATATTCCTCCAAGCTTTGGAAAAGTACAGAAACTGCGTGTCCTGTCACTTTATAGTAATTCTTTGGGAGGTCATGACTCTTTAGGAGCACTTGAATTTATTAGTGCTTTAACTAACTGCACCCAACTACATACCTTGAATGTAGCTAACAATACGCTTTGGGGTGACTTGCCTACCTCCATTGCCAATCTGTCCATGAACCTCATCGAGTTAAACCTTGACTCAAATTTCATCTCCGGAAGCATTCCTCATGACATTGGGAATCTTAAAAGCTTACAAACATTTTGGTTGGGAAGAAATCTATTGACAGGACCACTCCCAACCTCTCTTGGGAAGCTTTCAGAATTGGTGGTATTATATCTCCTCTCAAACAGAATATCAGGAGAGATACCATCTTCTATAGGCAACATCACTCGGTTAGAGAAACTATATTTGTCCAGCAATAGTTTTGAAGGAACCATTCCTCCAAGTCTAGGTAAGTGTAGTCATTTGCTACATTTGGTTATTGAGGATAATAAGTTTAGTGGGACTATACCTCGGGAGGTTATGCAAATTTCAACCCTTGTTTTACTAACCATGTCAAATAATTTATTGACTGGCTCTTTACCAAACGATGTTGGACGACTTGAACAGCTTGGTACACTAGCTCTTGTGCATAATAAGCTATCAGGAAAACTCCCAGAGGCTTTGGGAAAGTGTCTCTCAATGGAACGACTATATCTGCGAGGAAATTCTTTTGATGGAACCATTCCAGATATTAGTGGGTTGATGGGTGTTAAAGAGGTTGATTTCTCGAACAATAATCTCTCTGGAAGCATACCTGGATATCTTGTGAAATTCAAGTCTTTGGAGTATGTCAATCTATCTTATAACAACTTTGAGGGAAAGGTGCCAACAGAAGGAAAGTTCAAGAATGCTACTATAGTTTTGGTATCTGGAAACAAAAACTTATGTGGAGGTGTCTTGGAATTAAAACTCAAGCCATGCTTTTCGCAAGCCACAGCCAAGGGGACAAAGCATTCTTCTTTGAAAAAGAAAGTTGTGATCGGAGTTAGCGTAAGCATGTCTTTTCTTTTGCTGTTGTTCATAGCTTCAGTTTCACTTTATTGGTTCAAAAACAGAAAGAAGAACAAGACCAATGAGGAAACTCCTTCCACCACCTTGGGGGCTTTCCATGAAATGATAAGTTATGGAGATCTTCGAAATGCAACAGATGGCTTCTCTTCAAGTAATTTGATTGGGTCAGGCAGCTTTGGTACCGTGTTTAAGGCATTGTTTCCAGCAGAAAACAAAGTCGTTGCAGTGAAAGTTCTAAACTTGCATAGACGTGGAGCAATGAAGAGCTTTAGGGCAGAATGTGAATCTTTGAAAGACATAAGGCATCGGAATCTTGTGAAGCTGTTGACGGCATGTTCAAGTATTGATTTTCAAGGGAATGAATTCAGGGCTCTAATCTATGAGTTCATGCCAAATGGAAGCTTGGATATGTGGCTGCACCCAGAAGAAGTAGAAGAGATTCATAGGCCCTCAAGAACCTTGACACTTTTTGAAAGGCTTAACATATCCATAGACGTGGCCTGTGTTTTGGAGTATCTTCATGTTCATTGCCATGAAGCTGTTGCTCATTGCGATCTTAAGCCCAGCAACGTCCTTTTAGACGACGATCTAACAGCCCATGTTAGTGACTTTGGTCTGGCTCGGATCCTCCTCAAGTTCGACCAGGATTACTTCCTCAACCAACTCAGCTCAGGTGGAGTCAGAGGAACCATTGGCTATGCTGCACCAGGTATAAACTATCACACAAATAACTATGTTTGAGTCAAGAGAGTTAGTTATATTCTGTTATTGCTTCAATCTTGTTTCTATAAATTATGGTGCAGAATATGGAATGGGAGGGCAGATATCAATACATGGTGATGTGTATAGCTTTGGGATTCTCCTTTTGGAAATGTTCAGCGGAAAACGACCAACCAATGAGTTGTTTGGAGGAAACTTCACCCTCCACAACTACATCAAATATGCCTTGCCAGAGCGAGTGTTGGAAGTTGCAGACGAGATTATTCTTCACAATGGCCTTAGAATCGGCTTCCCTGTTGCTGAGTGCTTGAAAATGGTTTTGGAGGTGGGACTTAAATGCTGTGAAGAATCTCCAATGAACCGGTTGGCTATGAGTGAGGCTGTAAAAGAATTAATATCAGTCAGAGAGAGGTTCTTCAAAGCCAGAAGAGGAGCTAGGCATTGAAGTGTTTGTGCTTTCCTCTACAAACGTGAAGACGTATTTGCTAATCAATCAATATTATATATTTTCAATAATCAAGTAATGAGTCTTATTCGAGCAATTCTCAGAACAGAGGATTTGGTTATCTGTGTGCTTTCTATTAATGTTGTATTGTTATGTTATTTGCAGACAAAAGATTGATGTTGTGTTCACCAGCTTTTATTTGGAATTTCTTGGCTTTCATAATTCAGTTTTGTTCTTCTGGTCCACAAGAAGGAGGTGATGTTTGAGCCGAATCAAGGTCTGAGACTAAAATTGTGTTTGTCCGCGATGATCAAGTTTGTTATCTATCGTGTTTCAATACTCAGAACGGAGAATTTGGTTTGTGTTTACATCAGAGTAATGTTGATAAGTTGTTAATTTTCAGTCTTATCCGAGACAAGTGAACTGGCAAATCTAAGGGTTTTGCATTTCTTGCAATATACAGATCAAACAGAGTAACGAGAATAATCACTTCACATTTATGCTTTTAGTAACTTGGTATCATATATAACGACTTTCTACAAATCTTGATAAAAAAAATATACTAGATATGTTGCTAATTTTGATGCTATCTCTCACTCAAGATGATGACTTAATCCACTAAATAAAGTTAAATTATGTAGAAACAAAGTCATACGCCCTTTTTACATTGTGGGTGACCAAAACAATCAACATGGGAATGTAATGTTTAAATAAGGCTGCAAAACAAACTTAGGCCATGACTGGTCTTTGTTGATTCTTCTTTAAAGGTGGTAACTTTGACAGTACCCAAGTCGGAGAATTATTCATCCACAGGCCTTCACCAGTATCCTTATGCTTGAAGTCAGGGCTTTTAGCGTTTCTCTATACGTGGTTCAGAAACATTACAGGAAGTCGAAAATAAACATGAAAGGAGAAATAGAAAGAGAATAATGTCTTCCAAGATTAAAACATGACACGAGCAATATATATTACCTTGTCTAATCTGTTGTCCCACCATTTATTTGGATTCTCAACCAAGTCCATCCAAACTTCCTCTTCTATACATCTCAGGAAAACTCGTTTTAGAAAAAACGAGACAGTAACAAGAGGCCACATAGCTGCATAAGACTTGATAAAAGGAGAACTTACTTTTAAGTTGTTTCAATATTGGCTGCGAGACGGTCTTGGCCATGAGAGGTTGTTCTTGGCTCTTCTTTAGAGGTGGTAACTTTAACAGGACCCAAGTAGGAGAGGCAGTCATCCACAGTGCTTCACCAGACTCTTTATGCTTGAAGTCAGGGGCTTTCACGTTTGTCTACATGTGGTTCAAAAACGTTATTGTGAAAAGTCGAATATGAACTTGAGAATGGGCAGCGAATACTGTCTTCAAAGATAATCGCAAGCGCAATCTATTACCTTCTTTGATCTGTTGTCCCACCATTTATCTGGATTTTCAACCAAGTCCTTCCAAAATTCCTCTCCTACATCTCAGGAAAACTCGATTTAGAAAACGAGACAGTAACAAAACGCCACAGAGCTGCATAGACTTGATAAAAGGAGAATTTACTTTTAAGTTGTTTCAGTATTGGCTGTGAAACAGTATTCACAATTTGAGGTCGTTCTTGGGTCTTCTTTAAAGGCGGTAACTTTGACAGTACCCAAGTAGGAGAGTCTGTCATCCACAGTGCTTCACCAGTCTCTCTATGCTTGAAGTCAGGGGCTTTCACGTTTGTCTACGAGTGGTTCAAAAACGTTACTAGGAAGTCGATAATGAACATGAAGGGAGGTATGAGCAGAGACTGATGTCTTCAACGATAATCCCAGGCGCAATATATTACCTTGGTTGATCTACTGTCTAACCATTTATCGGGGTTCTCAACTAAGTCCTTCCAAGATTCCTCTCCTACATTTCATAACAGCTCGCCTTAGGAAACGAGACAGTACCAAAATGCCACATACCTGCCTAATACTTTCTAAAAGGGAAAAACTTATACCTTTAAGTTGTTTCAGTTTTCCTTTAGGGACAAAAACATCAAACTTAAGCCTGTTGAGTTTTTGTAAAACCCAATCCGGAGCACTGTCAAGCCAGAGAGAAAGATCACCTTCCTTGCCCTTGAAGTCGGGATGTCTTGGTTTCACCTGCACAGGGGAAATATCAATCAACGCAAAGCTTTGTAGTCGAACGTGTCAAGTGACATGACTGAGGTAGAAATGAAACCCAAATCAAAACTGCCTCTACCAATCCACTGGCTTTATTCCCACGGTGATCCACCCACTCTTTAGGATTCTCAAGTAGATGCTTCCACGCATTAGACGTTTCTTCATCCATGACTCTAACCTTCTTGGATCTTGCTGAAGAAAAAAAAACAATATATTCAAACATGATTAAAAAGAATCATCTTGATTAAAGCTAGCCCCTAAGAGACTTGAGCAGGACACCCAGTTGAAAGCAACAAAAGAGTACCGTAAGCTTAAGTAAACAAGTACACAACATAAGTATTTTCCGTAGCATAAACGACATCAGACATACAAGGCTTCTTCTTGGTGATGATTTCTTTTACTTGAGGTGGTGAGATCGTAGCTTCTACAAAGTTGAGATTCTGGACCATAATCTGTTATATCATATAAACGTTATTACGAATCAAAGGAGCTAAGAAACTTTCACAGAGTTATATCAAACTTGTGAACACTCAGTTCTTGTTTTTTTTTTAAAGTCACCTGAGCATTGGATTGAGGATAAGTCACATTAGGAGGAGGCGAATCTATAAACAGCTTCCCAGAAACATGAATCCGATCGTCTTTCTTCACATGCCGAGCTGCGATTTTAGCTATATCACCCTTGAATATAATCGGGATCCTGCAAAATTCCTCAGCTTTTGATTCGATTCTCCAATAACCACACAAGAATATCAATTTTCGATTATTCCGAAATCAAACGAGCTTTAAAGGAAAATGTACCAGAAATCAGATGATTTAACACCGGAGCGTTGAGAGATAACGGTCCCAGCCCAGGAATTTCCGTCGGGGCAAGACCCGAATTGAACGGGTTGATCCACGAATCCAATCAGGTTAACCCAATTCGATGATTCCGGTTTGTACTCAATCATCTCAGGCCGAGCCAATTTTTTCTCCGGCGGTTTAGCCCAAGGCTCAATTCCTCCACCGTCGATTTCCTCGCTGCTGATTGTGGCTGTGAATGAGCGGATTCGCCGCGAGAGTAGCCATTTTCGGGTGGGGAGTTTCGCTGCTCTCGAGTGGTGAAGTGACGAAGACACTACTCTTGTCAATGTTCTAGAGATCAAATTCATGATTTCATGTCAAAAGAGGAAGATTCTGATTCCGTCGCCGAGTTCCGGTGAAGTGTTCGCCGGAAAAATTTAGAGGAGATGATGACAGAAGGGTTTAAGGGGAAACCACTGTTGAGTATCGGAAATTAAAATACGATAAATATATTTTTTTGATTAATATATTATTGATTATTTTATTCTAGTAGGCCTTAACTATAGATTTAAAGGCCCAAATAGAGATGGACTGAGCCATTTTTCGATTTTTGAGTCATGTATAGTATTTTTTTGTCAACGATTCGAGTCAAGTTACTCATGTAGGTTTCTTATGTATACGAAGTACAAGTTATTAATACATTGAAGTCATTTCTACTTACCTAAAATACATTGAAGTCATTTCTATATTATCTAAATTATAAACTATAGTTTAAAATTCATACATATAACGGGTAGACGTATCACGTATATATATAATTTGACAAACTTTGTTTTTTGTAAGAATTGGAAGGTACATAATTTGTTGTGATTAATTGTATGACTCGACGACAAGCCTCTTTATTGTTTTCTATATATATATATATATATATAAAAGTGTTTTCACGCCTAGCTTTGAACAAGTCAAAACAGAGATTAGCTTGAAAAAACCTTGGAAATTAACATTTGATGTCGTGATCACCGTAATCATCTTATGGACGTCACAGCTAAGATTTGGTCAAGTTTAGAGAGAGAGAGAGAGAGAGAGAGAGAGTGAGTGAGTGAGAGAGAGAGAGAGAGAGAGAGAGAGAGAGAGAGAGTGTGTGAGAGAGAGAGAGAGATTTTTTGTTGAATATTCTTACAATTACTTTGGTATATAATATTTGATTCTTACAAATCTTGTTATGCAAACAAAGAACAAAAGCGTTTCTATTTTCTTAGACGTGTAGAGGAACATAAGTATAACGTAACGTTCAAAATTAAAAAAAGAAAATAAGTTATAGTACAGTATATGTTTTGGTTTATGGTTTGTATATTAATTAATTAACTTGTCCTTTCTTTGTACGGTTTTAGGTACATCGAGTGAACGAGAAGATAGCATTCTATATTGTAAATCACAGATCTTAGAAATTATTAAAAATAAAAATAACATGACCAAATTATAAGTTTAACTTGGTGTAATTTTGATCAAATCAAAAAATTTGGCTTTATTACGTTTTCGTTTTTTATATAGTTTGCTCCCCATCAAAATTAATCTTGGATCCGCCTTCCTTGATGTTATATCATCTGAAGTTTATCCACTTATCATAGTTACGTAAAGATACGAACTCAATGATTTTTCAATTTTCACCCATATATATATGGCGAAATGATACTGTACGTAGTTAGCGTAAAAGAAGAAAGTTGTATTTTCTTTCTCACTTTCGCTAACTTTTAACCCCAAAAAAATATCAATCAAATGATAAAATACTATACTCTGTTCTTCTAAATTGTGAAAGGTATCCAACAACAATTGGTACCAAGTTAAATTAATAAATTCAATTTCCATATTGAATTAGTCCTAGATTTTGACCATAGGGTTTAACATGTACTAAAACTCAAATTTTGGTAGTTGATCGTGGGTAATTAAGCAAATAGTAAAAAATTCGGAGAGTCAAAGACAAAAACTAAGTGATAAACTGAGCTAAAAAGCACGTCAAATTCAGTTTATGATCAAAAAGAAAGAAATGCAAATCTATCTTCCAAAAACTAAAAACTCGTTTAAACCGGCTTTTTGTTTTTACTTTTAAAAAACAAAAATGTTATTTCCTACGTCTATGAGGAATGTATATAACTATATATCAACACTTTCATTGCGACTAGTTACTACTATATAATTTTGAGACCCTTAACAACATTTGTTCAACGTTTGACTTCAAATACAATCTCTTACTAAGTGTGTTGATTTATATTTTTAATTATACAACTGTTTCCCTGTGTCACTATGTAATCGACATTTCTTAAAATCTTATTGTCGTTTACAATTAGCACATGCATACCATCATATTTGAATTCGAATTGTAACATGACAATATATAGCACTAGTACGAATCATTATGCTATAAGTCATGCTTATTACTTTATTAACTCATTACATAAATTTTATCAACTCGGCAACGACAACACTAATAGTCTACTACAAACCACTAGATTTTATATATGTTTTTGTCTTATAGTACAAATTTTGCTATATCATATGCAAAATAAACATTAATAGTGTAACAATTTAGAAGAAAAATAAAATATTATCATCAATTTATATAAACAGCACTGGAATAGTTAAACATTATTCAAGTTCTTTTTTTTGAACAAGACATTATTCATTATTCAAGTTTCAATACCATCAAAGCTATCATACATCACATATTCCATGCATAATCAGATATATCGAGATCTCTCATCATAAAATCCTCCAACAATTGCGCGTCATGGTAAAAATCATCGTAATCCATGTAACCCATTCCATTAAAGCTACTATTTTCAAAGTATTCCCTCACAAGATCATCATCATCATCATGATCATCATGATTATCATAATGACCATTAGCACGATGCATACATTCACTTAGTTGACCCATCTGATACAGCACCGTTTCCTTACCCTGATCCCATTCCATTGTCACGTGACTCTCCCCATCACCCACGTGCCGATCAATGGCACTATCGTAATTTTGGGTATCACCGGAGCTGGGAAATATGACTTCTTTCGACACCGAAGCCGGCGACCTGAAATCTAACGTCACCGGACCTTTTCTTCGGACGGAGATGTCAGTGTTGGAACAACGTCCAGTGAATTTCTGAACTAATGCACGGAAGTTGCTAGGGTTTGCGTTTAGGATCGTCGTGGGCATACTTCTTCTTGATCCCTTATATTAGGTGATAAGAGTTTAGAATGGTAATGCTTATTAGCATGTCAATAATAACGTAACTAATGACGTATAAAAAAAATAGTCTAATAAAATTTGAATGAAACAAGAATAGGTGGTCACATTTTGATATGTAGCCTTGTTAATTAACAAATTCTAACGATATTTTCATGATATATTTTGGTCCTTTTGGATCATTCTAGATCTTTTTTAATACCTTAGATGACCGCCGTCGTCTCGCAGCATCGCACATCTCTGCTTCGCAGGCGATGAAGGTAGACTCCGAGGATGACGTCATGACTCCGGCGTTAATAGACGGAGCTGCCGATTGTTGTAATTGGTGTGGTTCATAGTATAGTAAATATTGATCTGATATAAAGTTATTACTAATGTTATTATTATTCATTTTTTGTGTGTGCGTATGTGTTTAATTTTTGTTGGGCTTTAGCTTTGCAAAGACGCTAACTAATTGCTTGGTTCATTTATATGTGCAGGATAAGAGATAGAGCCATATATGTGCCGTTGACAATTCTACTATAGTTTGAATAATTCTTTGCATATATTTGTGTTTCTTTTTTTTTACACTGAGTCACTGATCAATAAAATGGGTACTTGACCACATGAATAAAATTTGAGGGAAAATTAATCCACATTCAATGTTCATATAGACTTGGAATCTCTATGGCCATTGAAGTTATTAATACATTGAAGTCATTTCTATCTTACCTAAAATACATTGAAGTCATTTCTATATTATCTAAATTATAAACTATAGTTTAAAATTCATACATATAACGGGTAGACGTATCACGTATATATATAATTTGACAAACTTTGTTTTTTGTAAGAATTGGAAGGTACATAATTTGTTGTGATTAATTGTATGACTCGACGACAAGCCTCTTTATTGTTTTCTATATATATATATATATATAAAAGTGTTTTCACGCCTAGCTTTGAACAAGTCAAAACAGAGATTAGCTTGAAAAAACCTTGGAAATTAACATTTGATGTCGTGATCACCGTAATCATCTTATGGACGTCACAGCTAAGATTTGGTCAAGTTTAGAGAGAGAGAGAGAGAGAGAGAGAGAGAGAGTGAGTGAGAGAGAGAGAGAGAGAGAGAGAGTGTGAGAGAGAGAGAGAGATTTTTTGTTGAATATTCTTACAATTACTTTGGTATATAATATTTGATTCTTACAAATCTTGTATCAAGGATATGGGAAGTTTAAGCTGCGTGTTATGAGCCCTTATGAAACAAAAGTGACATGTGGCAGAACAACAACAAAAAAATTCAATTTAGCGTAATTAAAACAAAAGCATAAAACAAAAACGTAAAAGGAAATCTAAAAGTTTTTAGATAAAACAAAAAAATAACTAAAATTCCCTAATTTTTCTCAAGCCACTACGTCATGATTTCTGAAACAGTTTCAACTTCCTCTATCAAATACTCACTGAATAGCTTTGTCGATTATATAAGGTTTTTCATTCGGTTTCAGCCTATCTCTCTCTCGATCTTCTTCTTCTTCGACTTTCATCTATAAAAATCAGCTTTTTTGTTTGTTTGCTGAGTTCATAAGATTTCTGACTAAGATTGTTCACTGATTTGATCGATGAAGAAAGGTTGAGGGAAAGCAACCGCTCTTGAAATGGCAACAGAGATTTCTCTAGCGGCAATGAGAGTTCCTTGGAGGATTTGTGAGAGGCTATTGCCTGACTGTAGTAAGAAGTAGACAGTACCTTCTAATTCAAAATATTGAAAACAAGCTTCGCCATGCTCATCTCCGAAGACAGATTCTTCACTTTTCTTACCCGATATGGTCATTTACACTGAAATAACCACGTCTTTTTTTTTTTTTTGAGAAAAGGCTTAAATAACCACGTCTTTGATTCTCTAATTCACTTTTCTTACCAGATTTTTCCTTGAAAAACTGTAATCTGCAGTAATTTTATCACAACGTTTAGAGAAAGGCTCGTGCGAAACCTAGACCCATCACAATCATCCGACAAATCGAGGCAAGGCTCCATGCAGCTGAATGGAAAAGGTAAATCAATCAGAGTCTTTAAGTGATCCTTCTCTCTCTGTCTGATTGTTTTCTCGAATTGCAGATTGGAGATTCATTCAAAGGCACAGATGCATCCAGCAAAATTAAATGAGTTAAGACAAGCAGCCAGAACGAGCGTGGAAATTCAGTCAGAGAGGGAACTCAAGTGGAGTCTCGTGAAGCCAATGGAAAGAGAGAATTCTCAACGCTTCGCATATGAAAAGGCGTTCGTGAAAGAAATAACAGCTCAGTCGATGATGATGAGGATGGCCAGAGAGAGCAAGTACAAGGAGCAAGTTCGTGCTTTGATCAATCAGAAGCGTGTAGCTGCTGAGATGAAACGGCTTGGATTGGTTTAAGCTGAGAAGAAGAAAGAACGTTGCCAACTCTGTAACTAGCATGAGATGGAGAGAAATAAATTGAGGGTCAAACTTGAAGACAAATTGCAAATGGTAATATATATTATATATGACGATACAAAAGCTTTGATCTTTCTTTTTTCTTATTGCGATTGAATGCTAATTCGTTTTATTTTTTTTATGTAAAAACAAATTGAATGAAAAAACATTTCCGTGCTACGCACGGGAGATAATACTAGTATATATATAATTCGTGTGATATGTGTGTGTTGCATTAGTGATGTTATACCTTTTTTTTTTTGGGACAACTAGTGATGTTAATATGTTATACACAATATACTCCTATAAAACTTTGGATGTAATATTTTTCGAGGACAGGATGATAACATCGATGATGATCTCCTGGAAGACTTGACTTAAGATGGTCTTTTTCTTGCTCAAGATCTTTGTTTTTCTGGGTGAAACCGCGTCTCTAAAGATTTCACCGGTCAATACAATTACATTAGAATAGCATATTTTAATTTACTACAATACTCTTACCATTTTTCTCTCTGATCTTGAGCAAATAATATAATGTTCTACGAAATTTTCATTAAATGTTCGTCAACTACAAAAACATTAACGATTTGATTGTAATTTTGTAATATTTTTTGTTTCTCGGTAATCTTGTATTCCGGTAGTTGTTGTATTTACTGTCTATAACAAGTTAAAATGTAATGAGTTTTACTTCAAAAAGTTGTTAGTTGCAATGTTAATCTGTAATCATAAAAATATAAATGTATCGATCACAACGTGTTTTAGCTGTCTTAGTGTATTCATCAGCTAAATGGGATTCAATATAAACGTGGCCGGCGATTGTTTATTTCAATTTTGACCAAGTCTAGAATAAAATACTACATAGCATAATTGCAGAAAGCCACCACATTCTTGTATATGCTTCAACAATATAGCTAATGCCGCAAAAATCAGATTAGTACTAAGTTCTATACTTGTTCTTTGTTTAATCTGAACTAAACTAGAATTTAAGAGTTTGTAAGAGAAAAAAAAAACTTCACTAATTTGCCATTTTACATCAATCGAGTAAGGAAACCATTTTTTTTTTACAACAAAGGCCGAGAAAGTCTCTTACATACAGACAAGAAACCTCTCCCATCAGGACCATATCGTGGTTACATGATGATAACAACAAACATTAACAAAAAAAGGTAAATACAAATTATTTTCCCCTTTTCCCAAAACAAAAGTAGATATCACTCCAATTAAAAAAAGTAAGAAGAAAAAAAAAAGACTTACTCCTTGGTGATTTCCAAAATAGTGGTAAGTCTTGGCTTCTTGTATCTCCTAAGAAGCAAAGAAGAGCAAACAACACTAACCGAAGAGAGTGCCATACACGCTCCGGCGGCCCAAGGCGGCATTTGAACTCGCAGCACCGGAAAAAACACTCCCGCCGCCACCGGAATCGACACTACATTATACGCCATGGCGAAAACGTAGTTTAACCGGATTCTTGTCAAAGTTTTCCGGGAGAGATCGATGGCTGTGATAACGTCTTCTAAGTTGTTCCTCATCAGAACGTAATCAGCTGCTTCTATCGCTACATCAGTTCCTGCACCGATGGCCATTCCCACGTCTGCGGCGGCTAGAGCCGGCGAGTCGTTGATTCCGTCTCCGACCATCGCCACCGTGCTTCCGTCTTTCTGCAACGAACGTATCACTTCGGCTTTTCCTGCTGGCATTACTTCCGCTCTCACGTCTTCGATACCAACCTGCAAGAGAGAGCGTTTTAGCCTATTAAAACCAAACCGAATCATACCGAAAACCGAAATGATCCAGAACCGGAATTGTGAGATTCTAACCTCTTTGGCTACTGCTCTTGCTGTTCTCCAGTTATCACCTGTAACCATTATGGGTCTAACACCCATTCTAAGGAGACCTTCCACAACTACTGCTGCTTCACGTTTTAGCGGGTCAGCGATTCCCAACACGCCGACTAATTGGCCACTATAGGCTACGATGACTCCAGTCTTTGCGGTTTCTTCGAGATCTTCAACAAACTTCTCGACGTGGTCTGGGATGGTTATGGAGTTTTCTGACATAAGTTTACGGTTTCCCACCTGATCAAAGAGAAGAAGAGGAAGAAACCAAAATTGTCTGAGGTGTCAAGAACAGGACCAAAAGCAAGAATTTTCGATAATATATCATGGAATAAACCACCAACCAGAATCAGCTTCTCGTTGACTAAGCATTGGATTCCTTTTCCAGGAAGAGCAGAGAAATCCGAGGTATCGAGTAACCATCCAGAGTTTCGAGACTCTTTGTTATGTGTTTCGCCGTCCTCTGCGGAATCATCAAAGAAGTGGAAATGCCGAGCGTATTCAACTATAGCTTTTGCCAATGGGTGTTCACTGCTAGCCTGAGGAATTTAAGAGATGATATGAAAAGCATTAGTTCACAGTATATATATATATATATATATATATCACTTAACAATCGAAGAAGCTTAGGAAAAAGAAGATTTTATCTGACCTCAGCAGAAGCAACAAGTGTGAGGAATTCTCCACGGTCCATCTCTGAGAAGACT